GACAAGAATCAGTCCCTAAAGTGAAGTGCTTTACCAAGATCGAATATAGCAATCACATCATTCTTAGAGGAACCACAGAAATGGAAGGCAGCAATTGAGCTAAAAAGAGAAAACCATTAGCTGAAAACATCAGAGCAAACTTCTTGCTGGGTGAGAACACTCAACAAGGGGGCTCAGGCTGAATAGCAAAGTCAAATAAACACACTGACAGAGTCCTGAATATTACATTTCTGCCACAAATAAGGAATATAAATTTCATGGTAAAAATATCAAGATAAATCAGCCAGGAGTATATTTGGGTAAGAAAAGATGGCACTAAACAAATGGTGCTGGAACAACTGGATAGCACCATGCAAAAGAATGAAACTGGCTACCCTTCCTTACATTATATACATAAAAAACTAACTCAAAATGGATCACAGTCCTTAACGTAAGAGATAAAATTATAAAACTCTCAGAAAACACATAGGAACAAATGTTCATGATCTTGGGTTAAGCAAAGGCTTCCTAGATACAACACCAAAACCACTGGCAAAAAAAATTAAAAATTGACAAACCGAACTACATCAAAATTAAAAACTTTTGTGGAGCGAATGATACCATCAAGAAAGTGAAAAGGCAACTCGCAGAATGGAAGAAAGTATTTGCAAATCATATATCTGATAAAAGACCTATATCCAGAATATATAAAGAACACTTACAACTCAACAATAAAAACACAAATAACCCAATTAAAAACTGAGCAAAGGATCTGAATAAACATTTCTCCAAAGAAGATAAACAAATAACCAATAAGCACATGAAAAAATTATCCATTAGGGAAATGCAAATCAAAACTACAGGGAGATGCACTTCACACTTAGAATGGCTAAAATAAAAAAGATAATAACAAGAGCTGACAAGGATATGGAGAAACTGGAACTCTCATACACTGCTGGTGGGAGTGTAAAAAGGTGCAGACATTTTGGAAAACAGTTTGGCAGTTCCCCAAAATGCTAAACATAGAGTTACCGTATGACCTAGAAATTCCACTCCTAGGTATATACACAAGCAAGATGAAAACATATGTCCACACAAAAACTAGCACACAAATGTTCACAGAAGCACTGTTCATAACAGCCCCAAAATGAAAACAACCCAAATGTCCATCAACTGATGAATAAATAAAATGTGATATATCCATACAATGGAATACTATTCAGCAATAACAAGAAATGAAGCACCAATACAAGCTACCACACGGATGAACCTTGAAAACATCATGCAAAGTCACAAAAAAAACCACATACTGTATGGTTCCATTTATATGAAATGTCTAGAATAGGCAAACCCATAAAGACAGAAAGTAGTGACTGCCTGGAGAGGGAGGGAGAACAGAATGACAAGTGACTACTAATGGGTATGGGGTTTATGGGTTGATAGAACTGCTCTAAAATTAGATTGTGGTGACTGCTGCACAACTCTATGAATATACTAAAAACCACTGAATTGTACATTTTATGCTATATGAATTATATCTCAATAAAGCTATTTCTTAAGGCAATGTATTTCACTGTTAAATTAAAAAGTTTAAAAACAAAATCTGAAATAGCAATTAAGAATGAATGTTGGGGCTGGACCAGTGGCATGGTGGTTAAATCCAGGCTCTCTGCTTCAGTGGCCCGGGCTTCCCGGGTTCCGATCCCAGGTACAGACCTACACACTGCTCATGGGGCCGTGCTGTGGTGGCGTCCCATATGCAAAATGGAGGAAGACTGGCACAGATGTTAGCTCAGGGCCAATATTCCTCAAGCAAAAAAGAGGAAGACTGGCAATGGGTACTCTGAGAGCAAATCAAGGAAATGATCTATTGAATAAGTGATACGAAATAAGACTAGAGATATAGAGATGGGATTTGAAAAATGAAAATATGAAGCTATTGTTCATGAGTGATTTGCAATCAATATTTTAGTAATAGTACTACAAAGCTGGAATCAATATTATTTTAAAAACGAGACAGGCCCTAACATCTTTTGGGCCTCCTTCCTCATCTGCAAAATTAGGACTTGCAGCTAACAAAATAATTTTTAAGATGAAGAAAGAGATGGCTGCTTTCCCAAAAGAATTTGCTAGGCAACAGCCTCTATATGCGTGGAGATGCTTGGGCCTTTCAGAATTACAATGGAAAAGGAGAGGCACTCCCTTATGATACATGGGAATCAACTAACATTGCATGTACTGTTCAAGATTTAAATAAGGATAGTTATATAATGAAAAAGTCAAGCCACTTTGGCTCTCCAAACAAAGAGGGATAAGAGTGGAAGAAGAATCTGGTATCACAGCAGGGAAAGAAATCAAGTAATGATACACAAGTAATAGTTGGCCGAGAGTGGTTAGGCAACGTGGCTACATGGATTTTTGCGAAGAGTGGGAATTTTAGGGATGGGTATAATAATCTTATATCTGCTATCAATTTACTGTTATTCTCTGCTCTTTAGTTCTTCTTCAGTTACAAAACCTATCTCAGGAACAGCTAAGAATCTGGTGCCTTAAAATGTTACCTCAAAAGATGGAAGAGATAGGAAAGACTATGAAGAGGGGTAGAGGAGTTTGAGATTTACAGTTGAGGGTAGTTAGGAAAGAGAACCTACTGCCTTAATCAAACCTGGTTAATGACTGTGATGGAAAAACAGAGATAATGATGATAGAGTTACATCCAAGGTTAGGCATGGGATCTGAAACATCAAGTCTGTGCATGCTGCTGCCTCTGAATGGGATAAGGAAAAAAGGTGAGGTCATCCCCTATGAAAATGGGCAGGGACAAGCTAGACTAAAGACAAACACAGAGGGTACTACTTGTATACAGGACATTCAAGTAACTGAAACTTGGGTCTGATAGTAAGATTTAGGATTATGTGCCAAAGACAGGATGAGGCCAAAAATGAAAAGCCCCTAATAATGATACACAGGGAGTCAGGAAAATAACTAAAACAGGCAGGATAGTGCAACGGTTCTCAAACCTTTTTTTTTTTTTACCAGTCCCCTTAGGGCAAAAGATCCCTTAATCCATCTACCCCCTAAAAACCCACTTTCCAGTGGAAAAAGAACTCAGTGATAACAATGAAGCAAATTTTAGGGAAAAGGGGTAACATTTTAACCATAACGCATATATTCTTAAGTCAAGATACTAGAAAATTACAAGCCAAAAGTCAGTTGATACAAATATGCATTACTATTCAGTGGAAGCTAACATAATAAATCACAACAGACTAAACTGATAACACAAAATTAAAGTCATCTATCATATAAACCAAGAACGACAGCAACTGAAAACCACAACCAACTCAAGACAACATTGATAGTGTTCTGATCAAGATTCCTTCCTAAAAACTCTGGTAATCCCAATTGTTCCAGTGGGAGATTTGCTTGACTGCCAACTGCAGCTCAGCCGCCAAATTTCTTAGTAGAACACTGAAACAGCATCTTCAGTAACTCTTGTAACATTTTGTTTTATGAAAACCAAATACTAATAACGCACTTAGAATACTAGTAAGTAGCCCCTAGTTTTTATAAAAGTGAAGATAACGAAATGAGGATCATTCACCCTCAAGAGCTCAAAAAAACAGGAAAAGAGAAGAGCATGAGGGTCACGATCATAATGCATAAAGAGACAAAAGGCAAACTATCAAAGACAGTCATATCCAGAGATGGCACTGGGAGAACTGTGCTAACAATGTGCCCTGGAGAAGGAAGCTACACAGGTAAAGACGAGGAGTAAAGTCTCCAGCCCGCCCCTCCTTCAAACATTCTTTCATGAGGCAACTCTCCCCATGAAAAAACAAGCAGTAATAACTCTTTTTTGAAGGGAGGAGCAGGGTAAGATAACTACCTATCTATTGGCTGCACGGAGATCAGAAGATAGCACAGGAAGGATGAAGATGAGTTAGTTCTAGGGCATTAGTAAACTGAGGGGAAAGGGAAAGGTAGTTCGAAATTGGGCTTGGTGAGTAATTAACAGGAAGTACAGGTATATGATCATCCCCAACTGAGACAGAACAACAGGGGTTAAAAATGCAGACTGGATCCAGACTGCCTGGATCCTCGACTCCCCCACTTTATTTCCTCTGTGACCTTGGGTAAGTCACTTAACCTCTCCATGCCTCATCTGTAAAATGAGGGTAATGATAGCACCTACCTAACACGATTGTTTTGTAGTTTGAATAAGTTATATCTGTAAATCATTTAATACAATGTCTTGCACTGTACGTAATAAGTGGTACCTAAGTTTTGTTAAATAAGTTGAGGTAGGTGGGAGTTTTTGACATCTCCAAATAAAATGGAGGTGTGCGGGCAAAAGAATGGTAACTGGGGGTCAGGAGAAGGGATAACTTTTTCTCAGCGATGAGACTACAAAGAGGCTGCACCTTTGGGAGGGATCGTCCTCCTGACGGTTCAGCAAGCACCCGCTCCCAGGAGAGGGGCGCGGGTTGAGAGAAACTTCCTTCCTTCCAGGGCCTAGGATTTTCAGGAACTCGTTTGTGAGAAGTGGTTGTGATTTTAAGGTGGCGAGAGCTTAATTTCCGAGCAACAGACCGTGGGGTGAAATTCTGTTTTGTCTGAAGAGCAGGACTCATGTCTAGGGCAGGACGGGGTTTGAGTCCGAGGGAGAAGGGTGATGTCCTCAGGGGCAAGATCTGCTAAGAGCCACCATCTGTCGGGCGCGCTCTAGTTGCCCGCGCGGGGCTAGCCTCGGAGGTAGCACGAAGGCTGCCCCAGCCGCGAGGGAGGCAGGAGAAGCCTCCAGAGTAACTGGGCTGTGGGCGCGGCGGTCGGGAAGGGACCCCACGTCGGGGCTGCGGAGAGAGACCCGCCTAGCCCAGGGTGGAGGTCGCTCGTCGGTCTCTCCGAAGGGAGGGGCCGGCGCTGGCCTGCGGGCGACCGGCCCAGCGCACAGCCCCAAGGGAGCCTGCCCCCCTGGCCCGCCCGTGCCTGCCCGTCGGTGGCCCCGGTACCCGGGGTACCTGAGCGTGGGCCCGATGCAGGCCGTGTCGGTGCTCTCGATCTCTCGCAGGATCCGCTCGTGCTCCGCCGCTGTCTCCAGGCTCTCCGCCTCCGCCATCTTACCCCGCTCCATAGACTGGGGGCGCCCGGTAGCGCGTCCCCTCCTTCAGCTCGGCTCACCTTTCGCTCCCTCTCTCACCCCAGGCTCCAGAGCCTCCCAGCCTCCAGCTACCCGCAGGACGACCCCTCCCTCAAGCTCGGCACGCCCCCTTGCGTCACCGCGTCCGCCGGCGTCCCGCGCAATGCCGGCTGGGATTTGTGGTTCTCCGAACAATGATAGGGTGGCCTCTGCTCATTTATTAATTGAATCCGCAAATACGTGTTGACAGCCCCAGTATAAACCAGGAACATTTAGCGACACTGCATATGCAGCGGTGATCAAGTCAGGCAATGACACTAATCCTACAAATTCTTGTTTAAGACCCTGACCACAAAGTGCATAAGGCCCTGTAGGCATAAATAATACAGAAGAACTAATTAGGTTTCTGCAGACAGCGATCTTAAAGCTATGAGGAGGAGAAAGCCGGAGAATCCCAAAACTAAGACATAAGGCAGAATGTGGCTATAAGCCAGTTCAGAGAATCGAGTTCAGGAATCACTTCTGGCTGTGAAGGATTCATAGAGAGACTGGGCCTGGAAGTTTAAAAGGTGTGACTGGAAGGTGTGAGGAACACCTAGAAAGCCAGCAAGAACTTCATTTGCACGGGTATGTAGAGAAGTAGTAGTAAGATATGGGGCTGGAAAGGTACCTTGGAGAGAAATCCTGGGCTAAGAAATTTGTACTTTGTTCTGATGGCTCCACTGGTCCAACATCCAACCGCATCCCAAGCGCCTGGAAACTTTTTTTAAAATATACACTAAACGTCCTACATCTGAACATTCTGATCCAGGCATCTGCATTTCATAAACTCCCCAGATTAGAATTAGAAAATCATATATTGATCACTGCTTGAGTTTTCACATAACACAATGAATGGGAATCCACCGATGGTTTTTAGAAAGAAGAGTGACACAACCAGAACCTTGGCATTAGGAAACTTGATCAAGAGCAAGTGTGCAACATGGGCAGAGAGAGAGAATTTGGAGATAGGGAAATACTAGGAGAGATTTTTAAAGCCTAAATCGAGGAAGTGACAATGAGAATGAAAAAGAATGGACACATAGGAAAAACATTGTAAAGTAGAATTGGCAGGATTTACTGGATATGGGGAAGGAGGAGAGGTTCAGAGCAGAGTGACTGGGAGAATGGTGTTGCCATCAACCAAAAAAGGCATGTAAGAAGAACCAAACTGGAAGTTGAGGCTAAATAATTTCTGCTACAGCCATACCATGGATTATTATGCAATCATTAAAGAAAAAAAGAAAAGACTCCATATTCGGATGTGCAGACTGTCTCCAAATTGTACTGTTCAGTGGAAAAAAGCAAAGCATGAAACAGTTTATAGAGTATGTTTTCATTTGTTTTTTAAAAGAATAAATATTCATATATACTCTTACATATACATAAAATATTCCATAGAATATTTCTCAAAGGACACCCAAGAAACTGTTAACAGTAGTGGCAGTTAGGAGAGAGCTTGGCAGGAAGGGGCCTGGAGTAGGAGAAAGGTAAATTTTAATTATGTGTTGTGTGCACTTTGGGAATTCTTTCCCTTGTACATGTATTATGTTTTCCATAAAAAATAGTAGTTATTAACTAAAAATACATTTTAAAAATAAACAAACCAATAGTGAGGAGAATGGGTTGCAAGTCCTGGTTTGCCAGGAACTGAGCAAGTTGCTAAACCTGTCTGTTTCTAGATAATCTCTGGCTGTCCTCATTTTATTTCATTACTCAGGCTTAAACAATTCCAGACAGATGTAGGAGGGGTAGGGAGAGTATGGAGCCTTTCATATTTCTAAAAATCTCTTAAAATACATGATGGAGCGTCCCTTCAGGCACCCGTTTTAGCATCTCACTCAGCAAAAAGTTTTTTGTCCATCACAGGAAACAGACTGGTATGTAGACCAGATATGTATAGTAGTAGTTAAACTAGCTTTTGCTACTATCAGCAGTTTTTTTGAGCCCCAGCAGAGGCCAAAGATCTCACATGTTATCAATAAGTGTGTGTGAGTCTGGAGTGACTGATATAGGAAAGCTCCAGTGAAGAGGGCCTGCCTAACTTTAATGCCCTCTAAATACAGAGAATGTCAGGTCAGTGTGGAATGACCAGAAAAGAACTAGACTAAGAGTCAAGGGGCCTTTGATTCAGGTCCAGCATTAGCAGTTAAAGTGTATTGAGCACTGTCTGTGCCAGACACAATACACAAAGTAAGCACTTCACATGCATCATTAAATCCTTACAACAATCCTTTGCTGTAGATATTATGTATCCCATTTTACAGATGAAAAAGCCAAGAGATTAGGTAATATCTCAGACCTCACAGCTAGTAAATGATGAAGCTGGTATTCAAACCCAGATCCATCTGATTCCAAGGTCCATTTCCTGACCATTAAGCCATATTGTCCCACCCACACCCTCCATTGCCACGAGTTTATTATGAGAGCTTAAGCAAATCATTCTGCCTCTTTGCATCTGCTTCCACATTAGTATAATGGATTGTATCATTTCTCAGACCCCTTCCAAATCATCTTGAAGACCTCTTCACAGAACCACCTCTTTCCACTTACTTACTTTAAATGACTATGTTTTCTCTTCCCCTGCATCAGTAGATTAACAGTGTCAACATTCTCACTACTCCCCACTGCCACTTCTAGACTGTTGTTCCAACACCCTGATTCCTCAACTCCTCTTTGAAGTTTAGAGCATCACATTGTGTTATGGTCATCTGCTAATGTCCGTATTCATCAGAAATTTTACCACTGGCTCACAGTTTTCCTATCCCCCTCAATCTCTGCCATCATCCTGAAGCACTTCAGTATCAACATGGATAACTCACCCACATCCGGTCCTCATGGATCCCAACTATCCCAGTGATGTTCCTCATGCCACTTAGTCAATACATTTATGGCCTCACCTTCTTCTTAACATTCCATAAACACTGCTCTACCCCCAAGGCTACAAACTGAAATTCCTCTCTCTACCTCTTTCCCATCCACCTCTTCCTCTGCCTAATTTCTGTGGAACCCACACTTTAGTCTAATTACAGTCTTCATCTCTGATTTCTATGTAATCTATTGGCATATTTTCCCTTCTAGTCTGGATTTTCTTCTATCCAAACTTCAATTCAGAGAGATCTGAGTTTGACCCCTGGTTTCTCCACTAATCAGCAAGCGAATCTGGGTATGTTACGTGGCTTCCTTAAGCTGCAGATTTCTCATATATAAAGTGGAGTTTATAATATATACCTTACGTAGTTGTAAGAATTAGAAATAATTAATGTAAGGGGTCTAGCGCAGGGCTTGGCAGAATCAATGTTAGCAGCTACCCACAGCACATACTCCTATGAGCCACCAATTTGACTAAACCTTCTCTAATTCTTTAGCTTCCTTTAACCATATCCACATTGCCAATTTCTCTCCCTTCTATTGTAGTGGGGATAAGAGACTGTAACCATGGCAACTTTTCCACCACAGCACTTTTTTGTTGCTCAATATCATTTGGGCCCTCATGGCTGCTCCCCATCCTGTGACTTCTATTCCTACTCACAGCACCCATTTATAATCTTTTCCTCTCTACCTAAGATCCTAGCTCTGCTGCCATCCTTCTCACTCTTAGAAGATGACTTCATCCATTATTAAACATTCATTTTCCCTCCCCTTCACAATCTTTTCCTCCAACTCCTCCTCCTTTCCTGTGTAAGAGGATTGGGGATGCCATAACTTTCCCAAGTCAATGTCTCCTCTGGGAGAAGTTCCTGCAATTCTCTCTCTTCCCTCTCACAGCTTCAGTCTTCCCCGCTGCTTTACCTTTATCAGTAAACACATGCTTGAGTCTTTCCAACTAAAAGTCTCTCCCCTCAGACTGAATAACCACAGGCAGAAGAATGAAATTGGACCCTTATCTTACACCACTCACAAAAATTAAGTCAAAATGGATTAGAGACTGAAACATAAGAACTGAAACCATGAAACTCCTAGAAGAAAACATAAGGAAAAAGCTCTTTGACATTGGTCTTGGCAATTTTCTGGAGATAACACCAAAAGCACAAGCAACAAAAGCAAACACTAATAACTGGGACTACATCAAACTAAAAAGCTTCCTGTGCAGCAAAAGAAACAATCAACAAAATGAAAAGGCAACCAATATTTTCGGAGAAGATATTTGCAAATTACATATCTGATAAGAAATTAATATCCAAATATATAAAGAACTCATATAACTCAATAGTAAAAAATATATATATATGATTTAAAAATGGGTAAAGGAACTGAACAGACATTTTTGCAAAGAAGACATACAGATGGCCAACCGGTACATGAAAAGGTGCTCAACATCACTAATTATCAGGGAAATACAAATCAAAGCCACAATGAGATATCACTTCATACCTGTTAGAATGGCTATCATCAAAAAGACAAGAGATAACAAGTGCTGGTGAGGATGTGCAGAAAAGGAAACCATTGTACATTGCTGGTGGGAATGGAAATTGGTGCAGCCACTATGGAAAACAGTATAGAAGTTCCTCAAAAAATTAAAAATAGAAATGCCATATGATCCAGCAATCCCACTTCTGGGTATACTGTACATCCAAAAGAAATGAAAACAGGATCTCAAAGAGATATCTGAACTCCCTTGTTCATTGCAGCATTATTCACAATAGCCAAGACATGAAAACAACTTAAGTGTCTGGCAACGGATGAGCAGATAAAGAAGATGTTTTATTCGTCTATATATAAACACACACACACATATATAGATATAGATATAGATATAAATATAGATAGGTAGATAGATAGATAGGTAGATAGATAGATAGATCTACATACACACAATGGAATATTATTCCACCACAAGAAAGAAGGAAATCCTGTCATTTGTAGCAACATAGGTGGACCTTGAGGGCATTAAGCTAAGTGAAACAAGTCAGATAGAGAAAGACAAATACTGCGTAATACCACTTATATGTGGAATCTAAAAAAGCGAAACTCATAGAAACAGAGAGTAGAGTGGTGCTTACTGGGCGGCGGCGGGGGGAGGCGGGAATGGGAGATATTGGCCAAAGAGTACAAGCTTTCAGTTATAAGGTGAATAAGTT